TATCTCTGTTAGTAAGCTAGATAAAAATGTACTAAACTCCTAGAAAAATACTAGATTTTTCAAAGAATATTTTAGCTTATTTAGATATTTTTTAAACTCACTTGAGTTGGTTGTTTGGACCTGTTCCTTTCCAAGTCGCTTATTTCTTCTCTTTCTAACGTATTCTTGCCTAGCACCATACCCACGCTGTATAGAAGACTCGTCAGAAAATATAACTTTGCTAAAGTTTATATTTTTAAGAATTTTAAGTGTCTTCTTAGCGTAATTCTTGCGGTTAGTAGCTTTTTCTGCGTTTAAAAGCTGCTTCTTTCTAGCTAGAGATTTTGAGTATTTCTCTGCTTTCAATAAGCGTTGTAGGCTTCTAGTAGAGAAATCTAGATTATTCTCTACTAGAATACGCCTATTTGTCTTCTTAGGACTTCTTTCTAGGTCTCTATTAACTACTCGAGTAGTTCGTTTAGAGACCTTAGTAGGGCGGCCTAGTTTAGGCGTAGAAAGAGGTAGAATAGGACTTTTCTTCCTCTTAATACGTTGTAAAGTATTATAAATAGACTTATAAGGCTTTTCTAGTATAGTACTAATAGTACTAGTAGATTTTTTTTGCAAAGATAGAGTATAAACTTCTTTTTCGAATTTAGAAAGCTCTCGAGACATAGAGAGATAATAGAGATGAGAAAATTTGGAAGTAGAAAGAGAAAGATATATAGAATAACACTAGTAGATTATTACGTAATTCTAGCGTACTTTTTTAGCGTACTTTTCTTTATTCTTCGTTTTTAAAATTAACTAGATAAGAAAGTTTAGAAAGAGATTTGCTTATGTAATGCTTATATAAGCTAGTATCTTAGGAACTTTTTTTAGAAATTTTCATACGCTCAGTAAAAAGTTATACCTAACTCTCTTCTAGCTCTTTTTGAACTCTACTTTTACTGCCTTAGATTAGCTTTATTTTGCCTACTAAGTATATCTTATAGTAACCTTACCTAACGAGAAGGTTCTTAACTTTCTAAAAAATCAAGATGTATTAGTCTAGGTAGTCTAGTTCTTTAGATATAGAGCTTAGAAAAAGTTAACTTTTAAAAAGTCTCTTTCTTTTTGTCACCCGACTGTAGGTAAGAGGAGGTTGCTAACTTTAGACGCGCTAATAGGCTAGCTACAGTGCGGATTTAGTTGTCTCTATAGGCTAGCTTTAGATTAGTTAGTTTTAGGCTTTCTTAATCGTTTTTGCTAGCTAGTCCTAAATCTGTTGTTCTTCCTTAACGGTCTCCTGTCGTCCTTGCACACGGGCGTAGGTCTAGTCTTAATCGCGGGTTTGCCGACTGTCTACGTCTCGGCCTCTTGTCCTTACAGGCGTTTAGGTTCGGCTCTAGGCCTAGCTTAATAATCTCCTATCTATAGACTATACTAATCCTTCACTGCGTTATTGCTGTAGTGCCCGCTCTTGTAACATATGCGCAGCTAATCGTGTGTCAAACACAGCCGACTAGAATACGTCCTAAGGCTATTCTAGGTACTCCTCTATGCGTAATAACCTAGCTAGAGACTCACTAGGTGCCATATTAATACGGCTAGTATACACTCCCTTAAAGCGGAGGATCCGCTTTAGTTCCTTTGTGTATATTAGCTGGGCACGTAAGAATATTACCTCTGTCTATCCTTTAAAGTCCTAACGGAACTCCTAGAAGAGTTCTTTATCTGCTGTTAGTCGATCTGTATAGTCCGCAATCGCACGCGCAATATACGTTATTGCTGTAGTAATCCCTACCTTATTGTCTAGAGCTTCAACGTTGTCCTCCTACATCTCTAGATTAATATAATGCTATTCTCTTAGTTTTATATTTATAGTCCCTAGTAGCGCCTCTAGTGTGGGTACCACTCTTCTACTACTGCTCGCTATTCCTATTGCTAGTGTCCTAGCTACTAGTGCTCTTTCTAATAATATTCTCTCTCCTGCTATTGTGTTCTTGTTAACGCTTATTGCGCTAGCTGCGTTCGCTAGGGATACGTTAGTGGTCGTAGGTTGTACACGGGTTAAATCTTAACTAGTCGGTTAGCGCGTGTATAGACGGCGTCTTAGAACGCTTCTAATACGGCTGTAATAGTCGGTCGCTAGCCACGAACGACGCCTAATATAGCTAACAGTGAGCTTAGTATAGATAACTTCGCCTTGCTAATATAGGTAATCTAGGGAACGCGCGGGGTAAAGAATCTATCTCTTCTTAACCTAACTATCTGTGACTGCTATGCAATTACTAATTAGTGTTAGAAGGCCTTATACGATCGTACGGTGAATAACAGTAACTAAGGTAATTTTGTGTATTAGTATTCTGGTGTATGATGATTCTACGAATGTGGGGGCTACGAAGGTATACATAACGTTGGGTCCGAGTTAGGCCGAAGTAGGATCGAGGCGGTACATTGGGCCT